CAGGAATGAAAAGATAGCCGGCCCAGACTCGACCTTGAGGCACTTTTAAGTCATGTGAGGAGGTCAGACACACAGGGCACATTATGTAAAACTAGCAACACAGGTAGGCTCTGTGTCTTCGTTACAGCATGCCGGTAGAAGGTATATTTTAATGTTCCATGATACTTAATGACTCTTTTTTCTGTATCATATGGGCTTATTGTTGAAAATGTGGAACGTACAGAGTATAAAGAAGAAATAAAGGTTGTACATAATCCCCTTGCCCCAAGAGAACTACTGTTTGTATCTGTATGTAGGGCTTTTGCTATGAACTGGTTCTTGTTTTTTTCTGACTCACAGGAATGTACCCATTTTCTAGACACCAGCAGTTCTAGACAACTCATTTGCCTGATAAAAGCAAGTCATTATTGATGAAATGCTTCTGATATTTTACTTTCCCTTGGTCTTTTCCTTACAGCCTGCAGCTGCCTGCCACCCTGCCATATTCAGAGTTGTTGATGAAATGTTCAGGTCAGTATTGTGCTGTTTCTGCTAGTAAATTGGTCTAAATATGTTCAGCTTCCAAATGTGAATAAAAAACTCTGTGGTAGTCTCTGGCTGTTCCACGGGGGCATTAGTTTCTGCTTCCATCCCCTCCTGCTGAGCTTTTTGGTAAAAGCCAAATGTCAATGTATATTTAAAAGCCAATGCCTAAAAATTAAGATAACTATCTTTTCTTAACCTTTTAAAATTCTAATAATAATGGTATAAAAGCAAAATTACATGAGATTTACATCATTCCATATTCATGTAGAATTTTTCTCAATTCAAAATAAAGCGTAGTAGTGTTCTCCCTTCACCACATGAGGGCTGACCAATCTTTTTAAAGGATTTGAAAGCTAAGGAAAACCAAGAATAATAAATAAATGATGCCATTCTTAACAGAGCTCTTCTGAAAGGCAGAATCAACTATGCATGTTATCTTACAGCACACTAATTTTTATTCTGCAAATACCAGAACTTCTTGGTAAAGGCATTGGATTTACAATGATGAAAGATGAGGAGACCCCTGGACATTAGGTTGGGTTATGGCTGCCAGTTAGTGGGGGGCCGGACTTGCCCACCCAGGGAGGGTTTCCAGCCTCTTTCCTGGGTGCTGGTACAGCCAGGGTATCTACTCTCTTTATCCCATCCCCCTCACGCTCAGGAAACAGAGGCCCCATGGCAGACAGCAGACACTGGGGAAAAGAATTTTTACAATAGCAAGTAATCCAGCACTTGGGTTGGTCTTGAAACATACCAACTTTAAGCTAAATGAGTGCAGAAATAAGTCAGAATGCTGTTTTTAGTTTAAAGCTAGCAAAGTTTCAGTTGATTTTTTTGTTATTGTTTAAACAAACATAAAGAAAGGTTAGTTGCGTGAAAATGCATAGAAAACAAACCAGGAATATGCAGATTCTTCCACCACTTTGCTAGGTGGATTTGGCTGAGCCATTTTAACCCCGGGGGCACCTCTTTCTCCACTTGCAAAAGCAAACGTTCTGTGGATGTTGCATTTCTGGGCATACAGTGCGCAAATATTTGTAAAGAGCATTCCAGGCCCATGTGGAAGGGATATGAAGTGCTTAATAATTTAAAAAACAAGAAAGGGAGCTCTGCATGTTTGCAATTTTAAAGAAAATCTTTAGAAAAGGGATTTCACGCAAGGACTGAAAACTGATGAGTTGAGATATTGTTGAAGCTTATGGCACAAAAAAATGTTTCCATTTTTCCCTTTTACATGTTCAGGTTCATGTGTTTGCCAGGTTAATCACTGAATGTGTTGTGATCTGGCTTTGCATTGCTCAGGTACGCACTCCTGGAAACTGATGGAGCCCTAGAAGTACTAGCCACTGTCCAAGTGTTTACACGATGCTTTGTAGAAGCTCTGGAAAAAGAAAACAAGCAGGTTCGTTATATTGCCGATATTATTCATTCCCCCAAAGAAGAAGAAGCTCTTAAGAGTATTTGATTAATCACCAGAAGGGAGCACTTTATTTTCAGTGATTTTGATAGACTGTTTTGTTCAAGAAGAAAGCTTCCAAATGAAAACCCCAGCAAAGGTAAAACCATTTTAATTGAAAGTAAATCAAGATGGTTCCTGTCTGTCCTGTGTCCTGGTACCCAGAAGCATTTATCTACTGCTGCACAGAGAACTCTGCTGTGCCAGCACGTGCCACCCCAGAGGGTGAACTTTCTGGGCCCTGTGTTGTATGCTGTTTGTCAAGCAGGACTCTGCCCCTCCCAGGCTAGAGAGAGGTATTCTGGAGTCTATATGGCATGTGCTAAGAAGGAAATGCCACTTATTACAAAGCAATACTGGACATCTTAATTATTAGTTTCCATTCATATCAGAGAACTAAATGTGAATTGGGTTCCAGGGGAGAAAGGAGATAGAGTGACAAGGAAATATTTGAATAATTGTAGACAAGGAGCTAGGAATGGCCATGATCAAGAGGTGTCAGTTGGACTCAGTAAGCAAGAAGCTGGATCTAGGGATCTGCAGGAGGACTTGCACTGGGGGGCCATCAGCAGAGGCAGCTGATCGATTAGAATGACCTTTGTACACAGAAACCTTTTCTACCAGAGAGCTTTTGTCTTTGGGCATTCTAACTGGCCCGTACTTCTGATGGCCACAGACCTAATGTCTGTGTAGTGCTTTGCCTGTTCAAGTGCCCAAGTCCACTGCAGTTTCCTGTGAGATATGTCATGGTCCCTTGGTATGCTTTCTGCAGTTTGACTTAGGAGAGCACTGCTGTGATGCTTGGTTGTACTAAAATCCCATACACTCCTACGCCAAGAAACCTCTCAGGTTTTAGCAGAGGTTTCTGTTTTTTAAGGCAATGATAAATATTTATGATGCTTTCTTCCCATCTTTTCTTTCCCAAGGGAAGTTAGCTAGACTGTAGCAAACAGCATTATCAATGGTATCCAGCCTGGGAGCCGGGAGGAGAGCTCTGCTGAAAGGCATGGCTGGCCC